CTAACTTGGCAGCCAGGACTCAGAAGCTTTGAAGTGCAGAAAAACAACACGACTGATGTTTCTCTCTGGTGCCTTATCCAGTGAAACAGGAATATAAACACGACTCGTGATTCCACAAGACATCATGCTCAGAGTATGTGTTGTAAATGACTCTCAGCTACTACCACATCATATTTTAGCTCAACACCCGTTAAACTGACTGAGTTATAGTTATTTTTGTGTCGGGTAATATGAACTCAATGTGGTTGCAATATTCAAATGAGTTGACTCCAAAAATTAATCGGTTGCAATTGTTTCATTCCCAGAGTTTCATCAAAATCCATTCACTGGTTTATGAGATATTTTGCTAACAGACAAACAGGGCTGATGTGACCAGTCAATGCTAAAGTTTTAAACACAGATCTCACACAATGAGTTGTGCAGAGTATGTGTTGTGAATCACGCTCAGCTATGAACACACTCAAGTTTAGCACAATATATGTAACATTGACTAAATTACAGCCATTTTTGTGTTTAACAAAGTCAGTTGGCTGTGACGGCCATCTTGAATATGGGTGGCTCTAAAACAATCATTTGTAGAGTATAATAAGTATTAATAATTTATAATGGTATAATAATACAATAGGTATCTTCTAAAGATTTCATTACAAAACTTGCATCATGAAGGACACCACTCACCCAGCACACACACTTTGTGCCCTGCTCCCCTCAGGCAGGAGGTTGAGGAGCATTAAGAGTAAAACCACTAGACTGAGGAACAGCTTCTACCCTGAAGCTGTTAGACTCATGGATCCCTAACCAGAACAATCACTGTAACGCCCCTTTAAAGTAAAATAAAGCGCTATGTTTTGTCATCATTGTATGTTCTCATACAATGGCAAAATTCGTTCTCTGCATTTAACCCATCACACCTGGGATACACCCAGGTGGAGCAGTGGCCAGCTATGTAAGTGCCCGGGGGAGCAATTAGGGATTGGGAGTCTTGCTCAGAGGCACAACGGGATGTGGAAATGGCTGGGGATCGAACCTGGGACTTCCCAGGTCGGCTGCCCTACCTCTACCCCATCTTGACCCAAAAATTGGTGATATGCCACTTTATCTGTGCTGCTGATTTCTTGCCTTTAAGCTGCTGTATTCATACCCATCTGCTCACTACAGACTCATGTTCAGGCTGCTGTTTAATAGCCAACACCGTATTATATTATATTATTATTGTTTATTGCATATCTTACATCCTGATATACCGTTTCTTTTTTTATACTTTATATTTTTGCTATTTTTGGGTGTAACTGGGACCTTGGGTACACAATTTTGTTCCACCTCATGTACTACATGTGATGCGAATGACAATAAAGAACCTTGAACAATCTAACTGAACAGATTTTTGCCACTTTTTACTCCACAACTTGTTTGGTTCTGACTAATGTTCATTAATTTTTACATTGCAGGACGTATGAATGGACACAATCTCCTCTGTGGTCCACACTGCTCTCATCCACCTGGAGCAGAAGGACTCTTACATCCATATGATCTTTGTGGACTTCACATCTGCCTTCAACACCATGATCCCCCCCCCCCCCCCCAACCCTGAAAGACAAACTACTTACACTAGGACTAAGTCCCTCTCTATGCAACTGGGTCCTAGACTTCTTAACAAACAGACCACAGTCATTGAGGATCCACAACTTCTCCTCCTCCACCATAACCCTCAGCACTGGCTCCCCCCAGGGCTGTGTATTGAGCCCCCTCCTGTTCACTCTGCTAATGTATGATTGCACACCTACCCATCCAGGCTGTCACATTGTACAGTTTGCAGATTATACAGCGGTGGTGGGATGCATCTAAAACAATGATGAGTCCAGCTACAGGCAAGAGGTGGAACATTTGGAAATCTGGTGCAAAGGGAATAACCTTCACATCAATGTGAAGAAGATTAAGGAGATGGTCGTGGACTTCAGACGGAACCAACACACCTACCCCCCACCCTGAACATAAGAGGATCTGGGGTGGAAGTGTTCTACAAGTAGTGGGTGGGTGTACACCTGAATGACAACCTCAGCTGGAGCAACAACACCACCAGCCTGATCAAGAAGCTCATCAGAGACTCTACTTCCTCAGGCGGCTGAGACGAGCTGGTCTGGGAAGCTCAGTCCTCACCTCCTTCTACAGGTGTGCAGTGGAGAGTATCCTGTGCTCCAGCATCAACGTGTGACAGGGAGGCTGCACAGCTGCAGAAAGAAAAGCTCTGCAGAAAGTGGTGAAGGCTGCACAGAAAATGTTGGAGTCAGTCTCCCCACCATCACAGACATTTACACCTCCAGATGCAGGAAGAGGGCCACCTGCATCATGAAGGACCCCACTCACCCAGCACACACACTTTTTTGCTCCGCTCCCCTCAGGCAGGAGGTTGAGGAGCATTAAGGCAGAAACACTAGATGGGGGAAACAGCTTCTACCCTGAAACTGTTAGACTCATGAATCTCTAACCAGAATAATCACCGTTAAAAAAAAAAAAAAAACACTGTAATGCCACTTTGATTGTTGATATGTGCTGCTGATTATCCATACTGCTGAACTCATGCTGCTGATTTATTTCATGCTGCTGTTGTTCAATTCGTCCTCATTCTGCTCACACAGACTCATGTTCATGCTGCTGTTGTTCGGCATATTGTTTCGGTACTATTAGTGTTGAGCATATTTCTTAGTTCATATCTTAGATCTTATTGCTGTTTTTTCTTTACATTTTATACTTTTGTTGGGTGTAACTGGGACCCTGTGTACACAATTTTGTTCCATCACATGCAGCACATGTGATGAGAATGACAATAAAGAACCTTGACTTGACTTGAACCAACAGTATTGCGCTCACTAATATGTTATCAGAAGTCAGGCGCCTCTATTCTCAAGAGAGTCTGCCTTCTTGTGTAAGTTTACGATCCCCGGCATCAGTAGAAAAAAGAGGGGAGGTGCAGTCTTTTCTTTGGCAGATTTGCCTCCTGCTGGCCCCCACCAGATCCTTATAGTGCCCAGCTCCACTGCAGCCACCCCAGCCTGCTCTTGTTCCACTATGTGGATGCACAAAGACATTGTTTGTCCTTTCCCTCTGCCTGTCTCCCCACCCTCCTCACCCATCCGCCACCCCCACTCCATATTCCCTTCCAAAGTTATCACCACCCAAATGCTCAGACCAGAGGGTTGAGAGAGGGAGGAGATGGGGGTAAATGGAGAGGAGGGCAGGGCAGAATCACATGTAAAAATGCAGGAGCGAGTAAAGGAAGGAAGGAGGAAAACATATGCTGACACAAAGATATCACAGATGGTGTCAGCGCTAACTGACAGCCATGCAAAGCCGAAGCTCAAACAGGCTCCGTCCCTCTTTAAAAGCACTTCACTATTAGGGCCGAGGTCCAAGACAAAGGCAGTTGTCGGTGCTGATGAACAGCAGACCGTGCACGTCAGCTGGACTCCACATGTGCTCACACAGACAAGTGTGTCCAGATCAGAAACATGTGCACACAAAAAAAATGCACAAGATGCTCAAGGAGGAAAACAAATTACAGATCTGTTACATCAAGTGAGACTAAACTTACAATAAAAATAGCAAAGAGTTCTGGGTTTGCATTCAGAAGTTATTTAGTTGAGTTAGCTCAAATCATTTGCTGCAGGAAAATTATTTTACCACATGCACTAAAAATTGTTACAACTGTTAATGAATCATATTTATTTATGACAATGAAAGAGAAGAAAAGCTATAAAATCTTTGTTTTTAATTGTTTTCTTGTATTGTGATGCATGCTCAATATTTCAGGTAGAAAAATCTAACAAAGTTACGTCAGGTCCTCTGGACGGATTTTATTTTATTTTTTTAATTTTTCCAGAGGAACTGACTTAACTTTGTTAGTTTTCTTGGTTTTATTTATTTTATACAAGTTTTGCAACCTTACAACTTCTGCATATCTGTGCCATTGTATTTTCAGCAACACGTTTTAGCTCATTCTGATGAGTTTTGTAACTTTTGTACTTATTTTAACTTTGTTTACATTTTCCCCCCATAGAAACACATCAAGATTTCTTTGATTCTTTCAAACCCATTGTTCTCTTTAAAAGCTGCCTTATCATCCTTGCTCTATTGTTTATTTTAGCTTTTTGCTACTTCTAGCTTGTAGCTACCATTCCACTAATTTTAGCTTTAAACTAGTCGTTTCCTACATTTAGCTTCTAGCTAACCTTTTAATACTTTAGCTAGTATTTCTCTCTTTTCAGATTCTAGCTACTATTTAGCTACTTTTAGCTATCATTCTGCTAGGTAGACCTTTACTACATAGCTACCCATTTGCTACATTTATTTATTCCAATGTTTTGCTCTTTGAGCTAGCATTCTGCTACTTTTAGCTTTTAGATGGTGTTTTGCTACGTTTAGGTTCTTGCTAGCACCTTGCCTTTTTTAGTTTTTGGCTAGTGTTGTTCAACCCACTTTCACCTTCTTCAGCAAATTTTAGCAACTGTCTAACTTAGCACTCATCAATCAAATTACGTTTTCATGGAAAACAATATATTTTGTTTGTTGAGATTTAAAATAAGCTCCGGAAAACTGACATATTTTACAGTGAGAGAGCGTGACCGTCAACAATAACACATCATTACCCCCCACACAGGAAGAGTCACTCATACAGCCAACCCTCTGTGACCTCTGACCCTATCCACCTTCCTCACAGAGCGGTGCAGAGCTCTGATTCACTCATATGAAAACACACACACACACGCACACACACACACATGCACACACGCTGTTTTCATGATACACTTCATTTCAAAAACATAAGAGGCTCATTAGTCTGTAAGCCAACTCCCACCTCGCAACGTCCCCCCCCCACTACACACACACTCAGCAGCACATATTTTTATTATTATCCTCAATTATTGCACTCTCTCACTCTCACACACACACACACACACACACCCACACACACACTTGAACATGCATGATGTGAACAAGCTTGCCTGTGAAATGCTGCCTCCACATTCTTCACATCAGGTGATGCACATGTCAGAGGAAATGTAGAGGTCAGGTACAGAAAACAAATAATAAAAATAAAAAAACCTGAGATGGGCGTATTCTCACACACTCTGCCCTGGAGTTATCCTCTGCTCCTCTCCCCCTCCTCCTCCCTTCCCAGCCTCCCTCCCCTCCTTCTGTCCTCCTTCTGCTCGTCTCCTCCCGCTCTGCTGCCGTTCGTTTCCAAATCCGTCCTTCCTCGTCACCTCACCCCCAGAAGTTCCATTTCTCGGATGACTGGTACTCTGGATGGAGAGCAAAAAAAAAAATGGATGGTGGCACGGGAGGGCAGTGGGTAAGGGGGAGGACTGGAGAGCAACGATGGTCACTCCCCCCCTCTTGTTTTCCGAGCGTGCCCGTTCAAACCCTTCAACTCCTTTAATCTCCAGAGAAGGAAGAAAATGAAAAGAATATTTTCGTCTTGTCCCCCAGCTCCAGAAGGCGACCCTGGACTTGTCTCCTCTTCTCGTCCTCTTGAGCTGGATCACTTGTATCGTCCTCAGCCTCCTCTTCTTCTCCGTCAGCTCCGTCCTCTTCTCTCCCTTCACAGCAGGTTTGGGCTATTCATTCAGACGTCAGGCTCACTCCGTCAGCCTTTTGTTGGAAGTCACAGAGAGGAAGGGAGGGAGGGAGAGGAAGGGGTGGATGAAAAAAATGGGGGGGGGGGGGGGGGAAAGGGGGGGAAAAAAAAAAGGGGGGGGGGGGGGAGAAGAAGGAGGAGAAAAAGAACAATCCAGTGCCACAGCTATTTGGAAGAAATTAAAAAAAATTAAATAAATAGGGGGAGGGTGAGAGGTGCAGCGCTTTTGGCACACGAAAGACTTCCTCTGCTATTCGCTCCAGCTTTTCCTTTTCACATAAAATACCATCCCCTTTTTTCCTCCTCCCCTCCCTCGCTCCTTCCCTTTCTCTTCATTATTAGTGATCTGGGGTTCACTGTCCTCTATGAGTCCCCCCCCCCCCTCACACACACACACACAGCCCTCTCTTTTTTCAATCTGACACTTTCAAACTTTCCTCCACTGCTGTGATTTTTTTCCCCCCCTCTCATTCGCTCCTTGATGCTTAAAACGAACCAGTCGTCCCATTCATGACGCCAGCAACCAGAACTTTTAAGAGAAGTGCTGACAATAAAAACAGGATGAACGAACAAAGGAATTAAAGCAATAAATAAATAAATTCCCTTGCAGCCGTTTGTTCCTTCCTAAGTACAGGGCTGATCCAGCACATAAACAGGTTTTAATTTTCCCTCCAACAGTTTAGGATCGTTTTTGAAGCAATTTGCACATCATTAACCGAAGCTTAAATTTGCTCTTTTTTATTTACCCTAAACTGCACAAGTTACCGTGCAAGGAAAATGAGACATAAACGACGGGTTAATGCAAGGTGCAGCAGTATGCCTTCAAAGTAAAATCCTGCAGATTAACTGTGAACTCTCACATATAAAAACAACTGCAAGTTTCCAGAAGCATCCTGAAGGAGGTTATTCATATTTGACATGCAAGCTTAGTGCAGATGACACCTAGTGCGAGGAAACATTTTCTGCCAGTGTAAGTGAGAACAGTCAGGGCAGCCCGACTCTGGGTTTTTATCTTTTTATCATGATGCCACAGACTCAGCTTCCAGGTAACCGCATCATTTGGCAGGAGGAAAACGCATCAGCAAAAAAGCTTAAGCTGTCAGATGTTCAGAAAAAAAACCTGAATATCGATAAAACAATACAGGTTCAAGGTTTTAAATGTGTAAAAAAAAATTTATAAATTAACTATCGCAACAATCTGCAGAATAAATTATAAATAGCTAACAATAGTTTCGAAATAGCATATTTTTCCAACACAAGACGATCTTTGTTTAAAACTCAGGCATGAAAGGTGGTGAGAGAGATATATTTTAAAAATAATCAGTCAGAGTCAGAGTTTTTTATTGTCACACAGGGTCCCAGTTACATCCAGTAATAAATAATGTTTGGCCTTTAGTTTTAAATAAAGATAATTTAAATTTGTTACATCCGTTTTTTCATTGGTCATTATTTTCAGCATTTTTTTGGTGCCAATTTTATTATAATTAGTGATCCGCACAGGAAATGTTTAGGTTCCTTCAATAATAATTATCCCGAATGCATTAATGTGCACATTTTAATGTTTAAACAACATCAACTTTTATGTTTCTTATAAAAAAATGAACTGATGGAAACTAGTGATGTTACATGTTATTATGGCGTTAGGTTGACAGGTTGAACAACTGGGAGATAAAGTTAGAGAGGCCAGACTGAGATGGTTTGGACATGTCCAGCGGAGGGACAGTGGGTATATTGGTAGAAGGATGTTAGAAATGCAGCTGCACAAGACAAAGAGAAGATGTATGGATGCAGTTAGAGAGGACATGGAGGTAGATGGAGTGAGGACAGAGGATGCAGAAGACAGAGTGATATGGAGGAGGATGACTCACTGTGAAGACCCCCTGAAGAGGGAAAAGCCGAAAAAAGAAGATCTGGTGTTAGGTAGGAGGCCAAAATCAGAAAAACTGTTTCATGAATGAGGTCAAGTACTGTTTATTAGACCTGCTGTGGATCCTACAGAGTTGGACAAATGGACACTAATAAGAGAGCTACAAAAATGGTAAAGATTGAGAAAAAGAAGTGCTTTAGTGGAATTTATCAAGCAGTCACTCGACTTTTACTTTCTCAATGGTTCATCTTTTAGTTGCATCTAAAATCCACAGCCTACAGTAAAATTACGTTGAGAAACTTCTTGAAAACTAACATTGAGGGATTTAAATAGTGAATGTTTGTAGTGTTCGAGATGAGTGTTTTTCCACTCTGAAATTGAACAGGGAATGCAAGTAAACCTTAATGTTTTAGGTGCAAAATATTCAAGGGGGTAGGAGATACATTGTGTACACTGCTCGTCTGAAGCAGTGCCATGATGGTTTCTGGTGAATGGAGGGAGCGATTGTATTCGCCACCAAGCACGATGGCAGAGCCAGGAGTTGGCCAGTGGTGGCATTGGCCACAATAGGGTAATCTTCAGCCACCCCACTGGCCACCCCAATCATTTAAGAAAACTTAAGAAATTGTAAAAATAGAAAGCATAGCTTCTTCAAATGATTGGGGTGACCAGTTTACACACACATTATGCTTCATATCCATATATATGTATATACATTTATAAATATACATACATCTATATATATATTTATATATATATATATATATATATAAATATACATACATCTATATAT